CTTCCACCTCGTGAGCGCACCAAACTCACTGCTCAGTCTGTTGAGTGTGTTTTCTTGGGTACAGTGCAGAACATAAGGGTTATCGCTGCTATGACCCTGTTGCTCGTCGGATGAGGATTTCTCGAGATGTCACCTTCGATGAGTCCCGGCCTTACTATCCTCGTTCCCCTTCTGGTTCTTCTGGTACCACTGAGTCCCTCTCATTCCTCACTTTACCTGAGTGGTATCTTCCGCTATCATCTCCATCCTCTTCACCACCTCGGGTATCTTTTACTCCGCCTCCACCACCACCACCTACTTCTCCACCTTCACCACCTCCTCCTACCTCTCCACCACCAGTCTCTCCTCCACCATCATCGTTGCGTCCTTCCCGTGAGACCACTCACTACTACACTCGTCGTCCGCGCCCTGTGCCACCACTTGACTCTTCTTTGTCTATCCTTGGACCTCATCCTGAGTTTCCTCCTCGTTATTCTCTTCGTGACCACAGCACCCTTCGTCCTCCCGATTGCCTTGGCTTCACTGCTGCCGTCTTGGCTGAGCCCGTGACCTATCAGGAAGCTGCTGTTCACCAAGAGTGGCAACATGCTATGGCTGAGGAGATTGCTGCCCTAGAACGTACTGGCACCTAGGATCTTGTTCCTTTGCCACCTCACGTCACTCCTATCACTTGCAAGTGGGTGTACAAGGTAAAGACCCGCTCGAATGGCTCTCTTGAGAGCTACAAGGCTCATCTTGTGGCGCGCGGCTTCCAACAGGAGCAAGGTCATGACTATGAGGAGACCTTCGCTCCGGTCGCGCACATGACTACTGTTCGCACTCTTCTTGCAGTTGCTTCTGTTCATCAGTGGTCGATATCCCAGTTGGATGTCAAGAATGCCTTCCTTAATGGCGAGCTGCGAGCGAAAGTCTATATGCAGCCACCTCCAGGATACTCTGTTCTTGATGGCCTGGTTTGTCGGTTGCGCCGTTCTCTCTACGGCCTCAAGCAAGCTCCTCGGGCCTGGTTTGAGCGTTTCTCCTCTGTTGTCATCGATGCTGGTTTTACTCCAAGTGATCACGATCCTGCTCTTTTTGTTCACACTTCCCCTCATGGTCGCACCCTTCTTCTTCTCTATGTCGATGACATGATCATCACGGGTGATGATTCCCAGTACATTGATTTTGTGAAGCAGCGTCTCAGTGAGACATTCCTTATGTCTGATTTGGGTCCCCTTCGTTACTTCCTTGGTCTTGAGGTCACCTCCACATCTGATGGTATCTTTCTCTCTCAGGAGAAGTACACTTAGGACCTCCTTTCCCGTGCTGCTCTCACTGATCACCGCACTGTTGATACTCCTATGGAGCTTGGTGTTCACCTACGACCCACTGTTGGTGTACCACTTGCTGATCCTACTCGCTATTGTCAGCTTGTTGGGAGTCTTGTCTATCTTGGGATCACTCGTCCTGACATTTCTCACTCTGTGCATATCTTGAGTCAGTTTGTCTCAGCTCCTACCCAGCTCCACTATGCTCACCTCCTTCGTCTTCTGCGATACCTTTGTGGAACTATCTCTCGGCGCCTTTCCTTCCCTCATTCTAGTTCTCTTCAGCTTCAGGCGTATTTTGATGCGACCTGGGCGAGTGATCACTATGATCGCTACTCTCTCTGCCTGTTGTGTTTTCCTTGGCTCCTCCTTGATTGCCTGGAAAACCAAGAAGCAGACTACAGTTTCCCGCTCGAGTGTTGAGGCTGAGCTGCGTGCTATGGCGACTGTGACTGCGGAGGTGACATGGCTACGATGGCTTCTTGAGGATTTTGGTGTGCCTGCCACTGCACCCACTCCTCTCTTTTCTGACAGCACCGGTGCGATCAGTATTGCTCGAGACCCAGTCAAGCATGAGCTCACCTAACACATTGGCGTTGATGCTTCCTACATGAGATCGCAGGTGCATGATCTGGTTGTGACGCTCCACCATGTGCCTTCAGAGGTTCAGTTAGCTGATTTCTTCACCAAGGCACAGACCCGGGCTCATCATAGATTCCTACTCTCTAAACTCAGTGTTGTGGATCCACCATGAGTTTGAGGGGGGGTGTTAGATGTATAGGAGGTGTATGTGTTTTCCCTCTACTTGGAGGGCTTCTTTGCATATGTACATTGTGTATACTTGTCCTCTTAGGCCTTGCAATAGAGCCGGTTGGTCATTCTCTAACAGGTTGCTCTCCTAGTCCTATCCTCTATTCTCTTGTCCACCTATGCAGGTACGTGCAATCAATAATCATGCATGTAGCTCTACTGCTGTCGTGCAACAATTAAGCTTCATATTAATTAATTACTTATTATCAACAGGCATAGGAAATTTTGTAGAAGGATCACTCCGAAACAAAAAAACAGAAACAAGTTTTGTAAATACAACCTGTCCATCAGTCTCCAATCCCTCCCTTGCAGCCTTAGCTGCAAAAAATAATGTGGGGGTTGTGTTGCCCTATTGTCCAGGAAAGAACTTTGCCCACTATCTAAAAAAAGGAAAGAACTCTGCCACTATCAGCACACGAGCAGAAAACTCATTTTGTCTTCTTATATTAAGCTTAATGAAGGGATGCCTACTGCAATTTGAGTGAAAAAAATACCCAGAATGTACAAAAGATAACAGGTCCATCATTTAAAAAACTCACTCTGTGGTGTAAGATGGAGATACTTTCTCCTCCTCCACGCCAAGAGTTCACTGACCTGCAATTTTGCAATAGTGATCAATGAAAGTAGCCTTCTTAATCAGCCACCAAATAAATCTAGATCCAAAAAACAGAATTTCATCCCCAAATTAAACAACATGCTAGGTTTATTAAAAAAATATCAAACTATATACTGCATGTGCTAGGTGTGAATCTAATGGACTGATTTAGCAGTTTTTCATAGGGTCAAAAAAGCAAATAAATTGGGCGTCATCTGATGGAGGCATCCTATAGCACTAGCATATTTTGTTTGATATGCAGAGCAGTAAGAAGCTCAAAGATGGACTGAAAAATACCATGTGCAGGATTGTTCTAGGTATTAGGAATTTAGCATAGACCATATATGGTAACTGCTAACTAGCTAATAGCACGAAGCATTTCGTTTTTCATTTCAGGAAGTTGTTTTAACAGTGGCAAAAGCTCCAACTTAATACAACAGACTATTTGATCAATGGGCAATGCCTCAATAGTATTCACAAGATTCTCATATGTCCTTTCTGGTAAAACTTTCAGGCTAGCAGCAGTGCTCAGTATATATATATTTTTTGAACTGAGTGCTCGATATTTGTTAGATCAAATATCTAACATGACAAAAACAGGCAGTTGAAAAATAAAATAGGAGTCACTTACTTAGGCCATGTTTAGATTGCAAAAAATTTCAACCCGATGAATAGTAGCACTTTCGTCTTATTTGGTAAATATTGTCCAATCGTGGACCAACTAAGCTCAAAAGATTCATCTCGTGATTTTCAACTAAACTGTGCAATTAGTTATTTTTTTTACCTACATTTAATGCTCCATATAAACGGCTAAAAATTGATGTGATGGAGAGAGAGTGAAAAAACTTGAAATTTGGTGGTGATCTAAACAAGGCCTTATATTAACAAAGTATCCACCATCACTGCTAATGCAAGTGGAGTGATCAATGGCGACTTTTTCAGTAGGTGCCATGGATGAAACATTCACAGCTGGACAGCAGAACCCGTCCATTGTCAGCCGGATCCCTGATGTCCGGGAGAAGCCAACTTCTGTGCTGGTGCCAGCGTCTCCAGGCGGTGGGACGATGCTGTAGGTGAGTCTGTAGCAAATAAATAACAATGCAGAGGAAAATCAAACTTTGCATCTTCTCTAGAAGTTGTAAGAAAATTACAAAGGCACCAGTGTGTGGTTCATAAATATAAATGGCAGCGAAACAGTGTGGTGGTTCACAAATTTATAGCAACTCTTGGACCTAGGAACTATAAGCATGTTGGGCATGAATTTTGTTTACTAGATTATCCTTTCGAAGTGTTTGATTTTCTACCTTGAACTGTGCAAGCTTTTTCTCTGTCCAGTCTTAGAGATAATAAGAAGTGAGTCTTGTAAGTTTCAGGTAGGATTATCATAAATACTCTCTTGCTATGTTACACGGATACGTCCAGGAAGCCGCGTATCGCGTATCAGATACGTATCGGATACGGATACGTGTCTGATACGCCCAGAATACGTATCCTCGGAGTATCCAAAAAAATTTTATTTTCGCGAATTATGGATACGTGGGCTGATACGTATCAGCCTTGTGGATACGTCCCAGCCCAGTAAACAACCCTTCCTCTGCCCTCGACGCCCTAGAGAAGAACGAATCGACAGGGAGAGTAGAAAAAGGAAGAGGAAGTGAGGAACAAATTGACAGGGTCGCAGATGCCGCACGCTCCGCTGCCCGCATCCGCGACATCCCTGTTCGGCGCTCTCGGCTCCGAGCTCCAAGCTCTCCGATTCGCCTCACAGGTACCGCCGCGCCACTCTCGGCTCCGAGCTGCTTATCGCACTGCCGCCGATTCGCCTGGCCCAGCGAGCCGCTGCCGTCGGCCTCAACTACCGATTCGCCGGAAGCCGCGCGCCGCTACCTCCACTCGCCTGGCACTGCGCGCCGCCGCCGCCACCTGAAGCTGCTCGCGCCGCGCTCCGAGGCTGGCCTAGGGTTAGGACCTGAGAGCGGATTGGGGATTTGGGGCTGGCTGAAGTCACGAGTGGTGGCGTGGTGCCACTGGGGGCTGACTGAAGTGAAGTCTGCTCTTTACGTGGACTTTGGTGGGCCGTCGCTGGGCTGGACCTGAGCGGATGCTGCTGTTTCTATGATCCACATTATTCTTATTTTTATTTTATTTTTTAAATAGTAAACGTATCCGCGTATCGGGTTTTTTGAGAAATTGCCGTATCCGCGTATCCGTATCCTTCCGATACCGATACACGTATCCATATCCGTGCAACTTAGCTCTCTTGAATACCCATGAAAAAACATGTTCCATTACATATTCAGAGCTATACTATGCCAAGAAATTGTACTTAACATCAACAAGTACCACTTTGCTTCTGCCATTATTTTGTTCTCCCATATGGCATCTGCAGACATCATGTGATCTGCAAAAGAAATATCTTAATTAGTTAGATGCACCAGGGCAGAACACTTGGGAAAGACCTATGATGCCTACACATATCACATACTGTTCAGGCTACAGGATACCTACATGATAATCAATTTGTCATGTACAATTGAAAAGAAGTTGTTCTACTATATATCCACAAGTACAGTATGCTTGGAGCAATTCAACTAGCAGTAGTTGCAAATAAATTCAACTTACCATCGAACAAAGCTGGAATAGATGTGCTAGAGGGCAACCAGTATTTGGATCTTCTTTCTTGTATGATCAGGATAAGACTTTCAATGTCACTACTACGTCCGATGTCATCTAGACAAAAAGACAAAAAAAAACAGCAAAACCTAGAGAAGTCATTGCTTTACTGTCACTGTTGTCTCTAACCAAGCACCACTTCAGAGAAAAAGAACTACTCTATGAGTGTGTGGTTCAGTAATAATTGATCCAAGGATCACAGCATCTCTATTTAAGTTTGATTCCCTGGGACTACCAAACTATAAGCTTCTATACTGATAATCACACATCCGGCCTTTTTCATTGTAAATTTTACTGAAAAACCAAGTCAAACGAGTAAAAACTAGATGGCATGTATTCATTACATCATACTGAAACTAGAAACATAAGAGCCCTGCTAGTTTAATTTAGAAAGACTACTGCAGCGGCATCTCGTAATTCCAATTGCCATTATTTTACATAGAAATTAGTCATGAATCCTATCTCAATTCCTTTGGCAAATAGGTAGGATTCCTCTAGGCAAAACTGTTAATGCAGATTGATGAGGAGAGAGTAATACATACCACTCTTGCAGTTCCGCTAGGTCTATTCGCGGCCTCATCTAGAATTATGCCGCCACCAACCTTGTCGTTAGTACCTCCAGGGTTGCCAGCATGGCGTCACATCCCCAGCTAGGGTCCTGCTGACAAACCAGCTACGCAAGCACAGGCTCTAGTTATCCGATGCGAGAGTGGGGAGGGACGAGCTGGCACAGATGCGCGTACCTCTGGGTATAGGGGTGCTACACGCATGGTCGATCTGGGGCGGCAGCGACCACTAGGCATGGAGTGCCATGCCACGCGGTCGATCTAGGAAGGCGGTGGCAAGCCTCCACCCAGATCCGTCGTTGGCCAGGGCCTTCACCTGGTCGAGCCACCAACTTGCCAGATCTGGCGTCAGGCAGCGCAGTCACCAGGGCGAGACAACACCATGCCAGATCTACCGAGGGCCATGCCGAGCGTCTGCTCCCCCCGCGCGGGCTAACTGCTCATCGGATTCGGCCTCCGTCGAGTCGTCGTGGTGGAGGGAAGGGGCGGTGGCAGTAGAGAAGGAGCGGAGTTGGCGACGGCGGCGGAGTAAGGGGGTGTTTGATACCTAATAAAAAAACATAAATTATAGAATCTATCGGTAATTCACTAGATGAATTAATTAAACCTAATTAATTCATCATTAGCATATATTTACTGTAGCACCTCTTATCAAATCATAGACTAATTAGGATTAAAAGATTCGTCTCGCAAATTAGTCACAAACTGTGTAATTAGTTTCGTAATTAGCCTATATTTAATACTCCATACATGTGTCCAAACATCCGATGAGACAGCTGACTAAAGTTTAGGAGGAGGAACCAAATACCCCTGGACGGGATTTTTTTTTACGAGGAGGAGGGGACGGGATATTTAACTTTTTACCATTAAGCGATGGCAATTCTTGAGATAGCATTATTAGGATTGACGATTCGATTTTAGCAGCAGATTCAGAAAATCGATACACATTTGTTATTTTTACTCACTTGGAACGCCTACATCTCAGTCCAATCCGAGTTAGTATCCTTAGGTAAAATGCCCCTCCTGCCCCCTCCCCTCTCTCTCTTCCTACTCCCCAGGCGTGGGCCATGTCCGTGCGCGTGCGGTCGTGGCTGTTGTGGCGATGGCGCGGGTCCAATCTGCCGCGCTCCACCTGCACTGGACGGCGCCGGCTTCGCTCTGCAAGAGTCGACGACTACGATGGCGGCGGATGGCGGACGCGGGAGCAGCAGAGCATGGTCGGCGGGGCGTGGCCCAGCAGCGCGGCCACAGCGCGAGCCCTGCGCGCGAGTCCTCGAACCTGGAGCGAAGGAGGGCCCGCCGCGGCTTGCGTGGACAGGCGGCATCCTGCGGCGGCATGCGCTGCCGAGGGTGGCCACGAACGGCCCTGCGTGCTGCGTGACCTCAGCTCCTGCGTGGGCGACCAGGCAGAGTACCAGAAGACATGGTCCTCCTCACCGAGCTCGCCTCCCGGGACGACACCGTCATGTAGACTCTCACTGGGGTCGACTACGACGTCAACTTCCTAGTCCTCTCGCAGACGCCGAAGCAGCTCATCGAGATGGACATGGTGGAGGCCATGTCCTGGAGCACTTCGCCATGCATGGCTGGCCCGTGAGCGACATTATGAGTACCAGGACTCGTGGCTTGGACATCCACCTTAGCAAGGGATTCAAAGTCGCCGTCGTCACCACCATGACGAAGGACCACGGGGCTAGTCACGGCGGAGTCCGCATTCCTCGCCGCGCACGCCATCTCATCAAGCTCCTCTTCATGTGCCAGCGCACGAGACTCACGGCGGTGCCCGTCGTGCCCCCTGACCTGGCCAGGTACGGAATCGGAGGCCCCACACACGCGTACCTCCTGCGCATCGTGTTGCAGGCCAGGCCGACGGCCACCGTCGCCGTCTCGACGTCGTCCAGGAGAGCGCTGGGGAGGTCAGTGCGCCGGGCGTGATAATGAAGGGTGATGAGAAGTCGTCGGGTGGGCCCCTGGCCTACTAGGGCCTGGGCGCATGGCCCTACGATGCGTGCGGCCCCAAGGCGACGTGCCTCCATTACCGCGCGGACGCGGCGTTCCACGAGCAGGAAGAAGGCGCCAGGACGGAGGTGTTCTTCACGGACTCCGACGGAGGTGTCTTGATCTTGCCGAGGTTCGTGGCCAGCACCGTTGCCTAGATGTCAAGAACTAGCTTGATGGGATCACCTTCGTCTTTCGGTCACATGTTCTACCGTAGCCTGTAGTTGGAGATCGGGGAGCGCCCATATGGCTTCCATGCTTCGGCCGCCATGGCTTGCGTTGCGTGGGGAGCTTTCTGGAGAGCAAAGGAAGGAGAAGTCATCCGTGGCCATTGAATGTTTGATGGACGACTCAGATCTCAGTCAACCAGGGTCAATTGTGCAGCCAACAAATAGCATGCTAGTCAGCAATGCTGAATTGCAAAGAACCCCCCTGAAGTTTTTCATTTTTGCGCTTGTGTACATGAAGAAGGGAGGGGCAGGAGGGACATTTCGCATGACTCGCAGGATCATATCCACACTGGCGTGTGTGGCTAGCATGCCACGTGTAACACCCTAGGTGTTAGGGTTGCATAATTTGACTTCCATTGCATGAGCATAATCATCAAGCATTCATATATGAGCTTTTATATATGAAACATACAGCTAAAACATGTGAAACATGCCTTGTTATTTCATGTTTTCTTATGAGTATGCTTATGATCATGTGTGAATAAGTGTAAGTGATTGATGTTAGTTCCAAAAACACCTTAGCTACACTTGGGATGACTAATGGAACATTGTTCATGTAGATCACTTTGTCTAATTAAGCTCCTAAGTGATGGTATGCATGTTGACCTGGGAAGTTAAATATGTAACAAATGTATAAAATGCTTGTGTGACCTTAGGAATACATTAAACATGTTTAGCATGTCACTATAAACAACTTTGGTATTTATGACTAAGGCTAGTTTGGTCACTAAGACATAGATATAATGTAAGTCATCATTTGAAAGTGGTATGTTTGACCTAGGTTGAACTATGTCATAGAGACTTTGCATGGATGTGTTCACTACATCAAAGTTGTAGTATTTGAGTAGGGCAACAACTTTTATTTTTGGGTCATAGGCTGGTTCAGTCCTAACATGCTTGAAAATAGCTCACAAGTAGCAAGAAAATACTGTTTTGGATTTGACAAATTTATCCAAGTAAAAAACAATGAATTCAGTTTGAAGTACAACACTTTAGGGCTTTGTAGATCTCAAACTATTGAGAATTTGGGAAATATTTCTAAAGCAAATTTGTAGATCACATGTAGCTCTACGACTTTCACTAATATGGTTTTCACTAACATGCCACGGATTAGGAGTATTGATTGAACAAATTTGAGCCGCCAGTCGGGTTCACAGGGGCCTGATGCCGAACCGCGCCGGCTTTAGTGGCCGATCGGGGGTAGGCCAGGCATGCCATGTGGCGGCCATATGCCGGCGCCGGCCCAGCCGGTCGGGCCAAAGTGGGTGTTAAGGCGTGCGACGCCGGTGCTCGCCTCATTTCACCCTTGCGACTCGCCCTCTCTCGCGTACGCTAGGACAGAGTGGAGCGCCGCGCCACCGTCGCCATTACCGTGCGCCATCGCATTCCCTCGCGCTCCACCACCGCACCTTCGACCACCACCGCACACCCACCGCTCTGCCTTTGTCTCCACCTCCCTGACTCACTTGCACCCGCATTTGAGCTGTGGTAAGCTTCGCGCCATGTTCGCCGTCGCCGCGACCGCCATGCTCACGCTTGTTGCGGCCGTGCTCCACCGAGCTATCTTGCTATCTCCTTTCTTGCGTTAAGGATAGCCTAGAGTTGCGTCTAGCTCAATTAACTGACCACTGGTCACTGCTGCTACGCCGGTGCTTGAACACGGCCTTCCGCCGTCGTGCTCTCGCCACTAGGGAACCATGCGCACGGTCAAGCTCACCGGCGCCACCTCCGTACCCTAACCTGCATCCGTTAGCTTTGCTAGGTCACCGTGTAGATGTTGCAAGCCTCACCTGAGCTTATCATGGCCGGAGCTCGTCAAAACGCCGCCGCGTAGCTCCGCCGTCCGCCATGGCCGCCGTCGAGCCTACTCCGGCGAACTTCCGAGCCAACCTTGTGTACCCATCACTGCGGGGCATCATGGCAAAGTCGTCGGTGGTGACCTCACCGCCAGTGAACTCACCGGCGACGAGCTAGGGCCGGTCCACGCCGCTCCCCTGCTTTCTGTGTCACTGACGCGCGGGCCCAACTGACGCCGGGGTCCCAACTGTCAGCGGCTGTAGGATGAAAGCTAGTTCATTTATTTCAGATTTGAATGCAACCATTGAAAAATCATAAGTGGAGTTCTAGATGTCCATTTTTGGTGAACCAAATTTTGTTGTGTTTGCCTTGAAGTGTAGTGCTTTATAAAAATATGAAATATATAATTTCTAGTATTTTTACTGGTGATTAAAATGTATTTAGATAAATGCTTTTTGAATGTTTATAATTTTGTAAATTATATATCTTGAGCTAGAAAAGTGATAAAATTGTGATTCCAATTTTGCTAGTCTTGTGTTGACATGCTCTAGCTAGGAAAAATATTAAGCTTGCAGTAAACTTGATTGAAATATGATCTTTCTATTTATCTATTAATAAATGGCATTTTCTGAGGAAATTATAGGGATAAAAATATATAACATATTGCTATGCAAAATTTTGTACAGTATTATGGCACTAATACGAAGCTAGGAAAAATATATAATCTATTGTTTGACACTTTTCTATAGGGTTAACTATTTTCACTAAAATAGACTTGCTAGCTTGTCATTTTTGTATAAGATATTGTACATGTCCAAATGGTATGAAATTTTCACAGTAATCTAGTGTGAGCACTAGGAAGCTACTATAATTTTATGAGAATTTATTGTGCACATGAGGTATATGTTTGTTATTTCCCCTAATTATCTAATTAAATAAATAAAGGCATTTAAATAAATAGATTGTGCTTGACCATAATATTTTCTATGGTGCTTGTGATGCATAGTAACTGTTGATATTCATAGTAAGGCTTAGAAGCAATTGGTTGTATGCAACTAATTAATTGTTGCTTTATAATTCAAATAAGTGGTCGCATGTATAGTTTTGGTTGAGTGGATGATTTCATGTTGATAATGATCTTTGTTGTGAAACATGTTAATAACAAAGTTGTAGATAAGTTACTAATATATCTTGTGTAAAAGTTTCATGGTCATAGGTCTTAGGGTTTAAGAGTTTTGGCTGGTAGAAGTTTGCTGCCCTAATTGTTTATTCTCTGGACAGATTTGTTTGATAGAATTGTTTGACTTAGATAACTATTGAATCACCTTAAGAGTATTACAACAAAGTTGTAGACAATTTCATAAGCTTTCTAGAATGTCCATAACCATATGATTTTGATGTATATAACTCTAGTTATGGTTAAAACAATAGCTGCTATTTGGTAGTTCGGTAAATGAATTGCAGAAGTGTTTGCTTAACTAATAGAAAAAGATATGCACCTACTCAGTAGAATAGGATACAATTGTTATTACCTTAATATCATGCTGTGGAAAATACTTGTGAGGATGTATTCATCACTTCTTATCATGTTATACGTGTCGTCATACATGCATTCGCAATATCTTATTCCACGATCATGCATATAGGATCGACCGAGGAGATAACGTTGGTAGAATTCAACGAAGAAGAGGACACTACTAGAAATGTGTTCATCAATGACGATTCAGTCGTGACGCTTACAAATTTTGTCACAGAACAAGCGCCTTCTATGACGAAATTTCTAGCTTCGTCATAAGTAACAAGTGACGGAGCTTTGGCACGAAGAATAATGACGAAAACAAAAGAATCGTCATAAAACAACAAAACTAAATCGTCATAGATCGTTTGGCTCGTGTAAAACCTCGAGGACTTGGCGTCGTGGTCCCACCAGCAGGTCCCACCTCAAGGATGTGGCAATGTGGTCTCACCATTGGGTCCCAACCTCGAAGACGTGGCGATGCGGTCCCACCAGCGGGTCTCAGCCTGAGGACGTGGCGGCGAACAAGTGGGGCAGCGTGGCCCACACGGTCCAGGTGGACCTGCATCCTTCCGCCTCCCTTTTTTTGCCAAAAAATAGCGCACGCAGGGAGATTCGAACCCACGACCTGCTGCTAGACATGTTGGTGCGTTACCACTGGAGCACTCGCCGTTTTGTGATAAAGGCATGCATGTTTTTCTATTTATATACGTATAACATGATAATTGATGATTTTTTTCCTAAAATTTTCTAAAATCATTCTCTATCAATTTATTTTGTTGGTTTTATCAATATATACAAATGAAAAGTTTGAGCAATTTAAATTTTGAATTTCAAAAAAATGCAACTTCAGACAAGATTTTGGTTCCCTAAATGATTTTAGCTGAAAAAGTGATAAATACCAAAGTTGAATAACTCATCAAGATCTACAACTTTTCTATTGGCCATTTCTTCATATGACAAAGTGGTAATGACATTGTTCACAAATGTGACACATATCTCATAAGGTTTTATAAACTATATGAGACATGTGTAAGATTAGTGAACAATATGTGCTAAGAATTTGTCAAATGAAGAAATAACCAAAATTAAAGTTGTAGATATTCATGAGTTGAACAACTTTGGAATTCATCGCTTTTTATGTTGAAATCAATTTGGGTCTCAAATTTTGGTTCAAACTTGTCGTTTTTCAA